GGGGAGAAAAGCGCAACAATGAATGAATTCTAAAATCTCTGTAGATATTCATTGAAATGAAAAAGAAATAAATTAATTTAAAAAACCCCAACACTAAAACTCAAACTCATTGTTGAGTCTGAACTGACTCAGGGCTGACCCCTCAGCAAGTTTTCAAAGGCTTTAAATCTCATGGCAAGAGATCGCCCATCTCTCTCCCTAGGAGCAGCTGGCGGCTTTAAACTGCCAGAGAGGTGTAACATTCAGTTTAACAGCACACCACCCTATGGGCTAGGCAACCAGAACTCCTTAAACCTCACGGTTTTGTTTTGTATAAACCTCAGCACTCCGAGAGAGCAGCTGCCAAGTGGATGTGCTGCCGGGGCTCCTCGCAAAGGATGTGAGACACAGCAAGGATATCCTAAAGCAAGGTAGGGAAGGGGGCTCTCCTGGGAATGACTTCGCTAGTGCAAATCATTTCACTTTTAAGAGATGCTTTTGTCTCTCGCTTCCTAGCCCAGATTTTAACTATCTTAAAGATATGTATTCTTCTGGAAGACTTTTGGAAACCAACTTTAAAACTAAGGGTTGTCACCAAAGGCATGACTATACAAACAGGTAGGGGTGAAAACAGAAGAGAAGTCAGCACTCAACTGTCTCTGCATTAAATAACACATTCTATGAGTTGAGGGAAGGTAACTCTGAGAAGAAGATGATAAGACATCATGAGTAATGCAACTAACAAGCTGATACAGGAAAAGAATGAGGGAATGAATAGGGAGGACATGGGGGGATCTGTATAAAAGAGTAAATAGGGGGAGGGGGGAGGGGTTTGTGCGGGGAGAAGGGTGCAACAATGAATGAATGGAACCCCAAATCTCTGTAGATGTTCATTGAAATGAAAAATAAACAACCTAAATTAAAAAAAAAAGAGTAAATAAAAAGCCAATATTGAAAAACCACCCCAATACATTCTATCTATAAGTGCTGAATTCATAGCTGTCATCCAGTTTCATTTAACTGTTCAGTAGGAAGGAAGAAAAGTTGGGCGTGTCTGTTTAATAAAATATCCACTGTGGAAGAAGTAAACTAAAAAGATGGGAGAGCACAGCAGTGGTGTACAACTAAGAGAGGATAAAAGCAACAAATGGAATTTTCTAAAAATGAAGTTCCTGCGTATATCAAAAACTTTTCCCAATAGGGTAAGAAGAAAACCTACAGATTAGGGGGAGAAAACATTTGGCAATCACATCTCAGACAAGAGTCTCAATGAAAGTTTACAGAATACTATAGGACCTCTGGAGAGCTCTGGTGGCCTAGTGGCAAGAAGCCATACTGCAATCCTGAAAGTATGCAGTTCAAATCCACCAGCTGTTCCATGGGAGAAGGATGGGCAATCTCCTCCTGTGCAGTTAACTGCTTTTGAAAACCCACTGGAGGGTGAACTATGATTCAGTTTTGACTTGACAGTACCCAAGAACAACAATTAGAGTTCCAAAAAGAAAAGACTGAAAATCCATTCATAAAATGGGAAAAATATATGAAAAGACTATTCACAAAGGAAGACACCTGGATGGTTAACAGATACATGAACAAGTGGACAAAGTTACTGGCAATCAGAGAGACACAAATCTGGTAGCAAAGTTTAACAGGCCAGTGAGCAAAAAATGTTGAAGAGGTTGTGAAGAGATTAGAAATCTCATTCACTGCTGGTGGGACTGTAGAATGGTGCAGTGACTCTGAAAGGCAATGTGGCATTTCCTCAAACAGCTGAACATAAGAGATCCCACATGACCCAGCTATCCCACTGCTAGGAACACAGAACTCGAGGAATATAGACTATCCCATCTAAGGAAAATAGAACTGAAACACAAATGGAAGTGTTAAAACATACACTTATATTCACAGTAGCAATATTTACAATAGCAAGAAAATGGAAAAGCCCAAATGCCCATCAACAAATGAATGGATTGAGAAACCATGGTACATTCACACAGGGAATACTATGCATCTAAAAGGAGCAACAATTTTGTAAAATATTATATAAAATGGGAGAGTTGAGAGAGCATTATGCTGAGCAAACTAACTCAGTCTCATAAGGACAAATACTGAATAAGACCATTATTGTAAAAACAGAAGAATAACTAATAAGATATGCATGAAAGTCCAAAAGATGAAGAGGTGGGAGCACAGGGGTTGGAAAGTGAGGAAGGGGAAAATCACTAGGATAGCCCAATTGGTGGACAGATGAGCAGGGGAGTGTGGGAAGGGGTGGGGAAGATCCAATTCAGATCTGAAAAGACAGAGTAACAGTAGGCATTGATCAATGGTAATTAATTTTCTAAAACACAATGTATATAAATGATGGTATGAAACACAATGTGAATGAAGGAATGTGTGAGGCACAATGTATACGAATTTAACACAATTTATAAAAAAATCATATCCAATTAAAAAAGTTTAAAAAACCCAACAAAAAGGTGCAGCAGGTGGGCTTTAACAGGGGTCATAAGTGGAAGATGTTCAGTTGAACACTGTTTAGATTAAGAAACAGCTTCATTTTTGTCTGACTTTTCTCCTTCTAGAAGCCCAAGCAGAAGCCAAAAGGGTTATGCTCATTCAAAATCAAACTCTAGCTACACTTCAATGTTCAGGGAACAAAGTGAATGTTAACTTCCTCTACTTGAAGAAAAGGCCAAAGGTGAAGTATACTCTGAAGAAGCTGAGAGTCATTGCTGCTCCCAGCAGAAATGAATCTGCCTCCCCAAGGTGTCAGCTGGCACCTCCATCCACATTACAGATGGGATCCCTTCTGACAGGCAAAGGTGAGACGGGAAAGGAGATTGAGGTAGGCAGTGATTTTTAGCTGACATCCTTGAAGACTTAACTGCCACTAAAGCCACAAGGAACTGAATTTCCCTTCCCCCCTCCCCCCCCCCCCCGAGGCAAATCCTGTTTGCTATCTCGTGTTGCTCAGTGATTTTCATATTTTTGTTTTAAATGCAATAAAATATTCAAACAGCACAGATTTAAGAAAAGTCAGTCTCACTCCTAACTTCTCTCTTAAAACTCCAGTTATCTATCCATAAGACAACCATTACTACAATTTCTTGTATTTCCCTCCAGAGATACACTATGCATACATGGATGTACATATTTCAAAACCATAAATGGTAGCATGGTATACATACAGTTCTGCACTTTTCTTTAAGCCACTTAATATATCTTACTGATTGTTCTGTAGCTGCACTTATTTTACCAGTTTCTTATAGATAGATATTTTGTTTCTAATCTTTCAAACAGTGTTACAAGCAATGAGTTCACACAGCCTTTATGTACTTGTAATTTACTAATAGGATAAATCCCAAAATGCAGGACTGCTGTGTCAAAGGTATTGGTGGTCGTGTTAGTTGCTGATGTCTCTTAGCAACACTATGAACAATAGACGTGAACTCTGCCCTACTCTATGTCATCCTCACCATCTCTGATATACTCAAGCCCAGTGTTACAGTCACTGTGTCAATCCATTGTGTTGGGGATCTTCTCTGACTCTCCCTCTTTCCCACACCATTAAACTTTTTTTCCAAGGACTGGCCTCACTTGATGACAGACTCATAGTTGACCCTCCAGTGGGTTTTCAGAGGCAATAAATCACATGGGAAGAGACTTCTTTTTTTTTCCCTGCAGAGCAGCTGGTGGATTGAAACTGTATACCTTTGCATTGACAGTGCAATTTCTTATCACTAAGCCACCAGAGCTCCCTAGCAATGCTATACGCCTCATAAAACTGACAGATAGATCATTGTCTGAATTAGGTAAATTCTGATGTAAGTGAAATTAATTCCAAACAACGGTCAGAATCCTTCTAGCTCTTATCACTTCTACTGGTGTGAATTGTGGCCATCATTTCTCAATTGGATTTCTGCAATAGTATTCTCAGCAGGTTTCCCTCTTGCCTTAAAACTCTATTCCCAATTGTCCCAATTGTCGGACTGTTGCAATGGCTCTCCATTTCAACCAGAATGTTGTTGTTGTTGTTGCTAGTATGGCCATTGACTAAAGTATAACTCATAGTGACCCTATGAACAAACAATAGACCTGAATCCTGTCCTTACCCTGTGCCATCCTCATAATCTCTAATACACTTGAGTCCATTGTTGCAGTCACTGTGTCAATCCATCTACTTGGCAGTCCTCCTCTCTTTCACTGACCCTCCAGTTTTCCAACCATGGTATCTCTTTCCAAGTAATAGCTTCTCCTGGCAACATGTCCAAAGTATGAGAGACAAAGATTCACCATCCTTGCTTCTAAGGAGCATTCTGACTGCAGTTTTCCAAGACACATCTGTTCATTCTTTTGGACATCCAAGGGATATTCAGTTCTCTTCTCCAATACCACATTTCAAAGGGATCTACTCTTGTTCTGTCACCCTTATTCACTGTCCAGCTCTCAGATGCATAGCATATGACTGAAAAGACCTTGTCTGAATCAAACATACCTTGGTCTTCAAACTGGTATCACTGTTCTTCAGTATTTTGGAGAGGTCTCTGACAGCAGACTTGCCCTGAGTAATACATCTCCTGATCTCCTGAATGCTGGTACCAGGCATGTTGATTGTGGATCCAAGTAAGATAAAATCATTGATGGTTTCAACCCTTTCTCCTTCTGTTATAATGTTGGCTACTTCCCAATGGTAAGTGCCTTTTTTTTCCTTCATGTTGAGCTATTGAAGGATGTAATCCTTGATCTTCTGCTACAAGTGTTTCAGGTTCTCTTCACTTCCAGCAAGCAAGGCTCTGTCATCTGCATAATGTATATTGTTCATGAGTCGCCCTCTGCTCCAGATGCAGCATTCCTCTTTTTAGATAGGGAACTGCCAGAAGTTCAAATGGGGTTTAGAAGAGGCTCTGGCATCAGTAATATCACTGCTGATGTCAGATGAATCTTGGCTGAAGCAGAGAATACCAGAATGTCTATCTGTGTTTTATTGACTATGCAAAGGCATTTGACTCTGTATAATAAGAAAACTATTCATTCTTCTATCAGTCATAATAAAGATATAAGTAATTATGGTACCAGATCCTCTGTAAAATGGGCCTGTTTCCTCTAGATCTTTATCTGCTACTTTGTATAGATCTTTATTATTATTTTCCTTGCTCACGCTACTCAGGATTTGCAATCTCCTTGCTATTCCTCTAGAATAGTTAACATGCCAGTCACATGCTGCTTCAGGGCCTCTCTACTCTATCTCTTCTTCGCCAGACAGCTGCTTGACTAATCGCCTCACTGCCCTTGTGTCTTGGCTCATATCTCACTTTCTCAATGAGATTTACCCTAAATGGCAGGTTGCCCAACCATTGTCCAGCCCACCGCCAAGTTCTTCCCTTAATTAAACTTTGTTATTTTTTTATAGTGCTACTCCTCTACTAAAAGAAAGGACAACATCTAACAACAACAATCTTCTACTATTAAAACTGTATTTCTTAAGTTTACTATTGTGTGTTCCCTGCCTACTTCTACTGCACACTCCCTTCCTTTTACTTGTTCCCTTGCTAGAATGTACCCAATGGATACATGCAAAGTCCCTGAAGCCATGTCTGACACGTATAGATACTAATTTAAAAACTGTGTTAAATGAACAGAAAGGAGGAGTTTACAAACTGGATATCCTTTCCTTCTTCCAGTTCCTCCTGCATCCCTCGATTCTCTCTCTGTGTAGGTAGATTCCAGAGTCAATTTAGAAAGAACTGTGACAGTCCTTAAGGCAAGGTATGATATTTCACTTTCTTCTTTGGAGTCTGAAGTCACCTTCTTTGAAGAAGGAGACTGCCAACAATGGTCTGCCTGCCATCCTTGTTGTTATTATGACCTTAAGAATTAGAAGCAATCAAGATATGGTTTGATCCAACTTTAGTCAAATGTTAATCTGTACTTCTTTTCCTATCGCTCATTTATTCTTGGCATTTCTTTATGTCCACACCCTAAACCTATGGTCAGGTTAATGAGGCCACAGTTAGAAATAAAATATCAGCCAGGCAGAGCAAGAGTTCATGTCAGGCAAAGTCAAAGGCAAGATTGTCTTCTCAGTTGTTTTTTCCCCCATTGTTTCTTGTCTTGTAGCAGTTTTACCAGGGATCTCCCAGTGTAAGGTCTACCCAGTAATGGTGGCTTCCTCAGATACTTTTTCCACTGTTACCATTTCCACAACTCCTGGGAATAAAGAAGGAGAGAGAACTACAAGTATTGGTGAGTTTTTGAGGCCATTAGAATAACCAGATACAGAAAAAGTAAGAGTGAGACAAAAGTAGAAAAAGAAAGCAGCATTTGTAGCCCCAGTATCAGTCTGTCTTTCACAGGATTTTTCTGGAGGTAGACAGTTTCCACTTCAGCATTCTGTTTCTATGGGAACTATAAATGGATGATACTTTACCACTATATGAGTGAACTCACCTGTAGCTAAATTTGGAGACAGGATAAATCTTATTCACATTATAGGTAATTCCAGCCAATATATGTTGGTAATTCCAATGATAGATCGATATAGATATATGTTGTGTACAGCAAAGTCAGAACCGACCCATAGGTGATCCTCCAGTGGATTTTTAAAGGCAGTTAATCACATGGGATTAATCCTTCTCCTGGGGAGCAGCTGGTGGCCTTGAACCACATGCTTTTGGGATTGCAATGAAGCTTCTCGTCACTAGGCCCCCAGAGCTTTTATATTTTATATATGTATATACATACATACACACATATTTGGAAGCAGGAGTGGAATCCACTTCCTCAACAACATGCCTCTGGAAACTCTATGAGTTGTGCTCGACACGATGGCAATCAACTACAAAACTATATAAATAGTTGGAATTACCAACATATAATGGCTGGAAATGTCATATATATGACATTTTAATACTAGCTAAAAAAAAAATCTCAGAATGAACTCATAGCTGACCCTCCAGCAGGTTTTCATAGGCTATAAATCACACAGGAGGAAACTGCCCATCTTTCTCATAAGGAGTATCTGGTGGATTCAAACTGCCTGCCTTTGGTTTGGCAGCACAACTTCCTATCCACTATGCCACCAGAACTAAGTATATGTTTCCATCTGCACTGCTCTTAAAAACAAAAATCTAAACCCATTGCCACTGAATCCAAACTCATTGCAACTGAGTTAATGACAACTCAGAAACTCTGACGGGCATAGTAGAAATGCCCCTATAAATTTTAAAAGTCCATAATCTTCACAAAAGCAGACTGTCATCTTTCTTCCACAGAGTGGCTGCTGGGTTTGAAACACCAATCTTTTGTGCTGGCATGTATAACCAGCCCAGCACTTAACCACTGTGCCACCAGAGTTCCCTTTTGTTGTTGTTATGTGCCATCAAGTCGAGTATGACTCATAGCAACCCTATAAATCTTAATCCTGTTATATCCTGTTCCATCCTTATCATCCTCGACATATCTGGGTCCATTGCAGCAGACACTGTATCAACCCATCTCATTGAGAATCTTCCTCTCCTTCATTGACCTTCCACCTTTCAGTTTGGGTGACATCCCAGTTCCCTTCAGGATATTGAAGACTGATTATGAGATTATAATGATTAAATATGAGATTAGTAATATAAGATGCACATGAGCCATCTGCCTCCAGATTTAGCTTATGACCCAAAAGCAAAGCTGATTCACCTTTGTTCCTCTTTATGTCAGAAAGCCAAGAGGATAAAATGTAAAGAAAGAGGACTTTCTAATCCATGTGATTTGCCAGAGCAAAAGAGTAAGGATCCTGAGAAAGCTGCTGCTGAAAGATAAATTTACAATTATTTGTGTACCTAACCTCTTCCTCCCTTTCAGGTAAAAAGTTGACTATAAAAAGTCCCAAGTTCCAGGGAGAGTGACTCATTGAGCTGAAAAGGTTAGAGCAGAGCCCAGAATGCTCACCTGACTCCTGACTGAATCAGAGATTGATCTGTCTTTGAATCAAATGGATCCCTATTAGTCATGTGAGCCAGGAGACCTTCAAGTCAAAGAGTCAATCTATTCCTTTTCTCAAATTTTCTCTCCCCCTTTCCATTTCTCCTTCCTCTTTTAGAAACAGATGAGAGCCTAAAGAAGAGGCAAAAATGGAGCATTGTGGTAAAATTCCTGATTGCTGCCATCCTTTTGACCATTGGCATTGCCATTATAGTGTTCATCATTTTTGAAGTTCCATGTCCTGTAAGTTTGATAATGTGTTTAGTCCTTGGCCTTGATCTGTTAGGATCTCCTATTCCAGAGACAGCTTAGCATGAAATAAGCACAAACTTTTGAGTTCGGATGAACCTGTTACTCTTACTTAACAACTAAGTGACTTTGGACAAATTGCTTGACATGTCCAACCAAATGGGACTCATGTATATATCTTCTGGATAGTTATGAAAGTGAATTCAGACGTTATTGTTGTTATGTGCCGTTGAGACGCTTGCGACTCATAGCGACCCTATGTACAACAGCCCTAAACTCTGCTCTGTCCTGTACTAATCGCACTGTCTGTGACACTCCCATCCCAATTATCCCAGTCACTGATACTGTGTGAAAAATAGCTCCAAGAGACCCTAAGCATTTTAAAGAAGGGATTATTTCTTTCAATGACCTGATATGTTTGGTAGATTACCAAAGATAAAAATAATTTGACACTAACTACAGTCATCTTCTCCTTTCAGAGTCAATGCCTGGGAGCCAGGGAGCTATGCCAGTGCTGGTGGTTATGTGGAAAACAGAGAAACGAAGCTGGCAGGGAAGCCCAGCAACTTGGGGCAGCTGAAGCCCAGCCTGACTTTCAGCCAGAGAAGGAAAGTATTCTTTGTATAGTTTATATTTGCTTAGAATAAATGGAGTTAACATATAAGTAGTAAGAGCTATGGTAACATTGACCGTTACATGTTGTGGTCCTAATTGGAAGCTCAGTGGGTCAAATCCACCGGCTTTCCTACAGGAGAAAGATGGGCAGTCTCCTCTTGCAAAGACTTACAGCCTCAGCAATCCAATGGAGGTGCTATGAGTGGGAAATGACTCGATGCCAGGGGTTCTATATAAATATAAAGGGAGGAGGAGGTGGCTTCAATTATAATGGTATCAGGAAATATGCAGGCAATAGCTATTTTCCTAGCACCAATTCAACCGTATCAAAAGAGAATGTTTATTGAAAACTTGCATTTCTGGATAAGAGAGTACTGAATTAGAATATCTAAAGTAGAACTGTTGTTGTTTGCCATCAAGTTGGAAATGACCCATAGCTGACCCTCCAGTGGGTTTTTAGAGGCAGTAAATTGCACAGGAGTCTGACCATCTTTCTCCTGTGAAGCATCTGTTGGATTTGAAACACAAGCCTTTGAGACTGCAGCTCAGCTTCTTACCATTAGGCCACCAAAGTGCCCTAAAGTAAAACTAGGAATCTTATTTTTAATATTTTTACCAAGTTGTGTTGTACACAAGAGGTGAATTTACTATTAAACTAAGGAAGTTTAAATGTCAGCACTCATGGACTCAATCCAAAGTTTCATCAATTTTTTTTTCAAGTTGTATATTTTTCTTTAATAAGGTTCTCTTAAACTGTAAAACCTTGGGAACCTTGTACTCACTCTAAGATAACATTTAAGAACAACAAAGTTTAGGAACCACTACATAAATCTGAAGACTTGGCAAAATAGCTTTCTTCCTCTCTCCTCTTGGATTTACATGACAAGATTACAAACTAGCATTGTGCTTTAGTGTTTGAAACAGACACTACAACATTGGCTCAAGAGAGCTGCTTTAAATCCAGGTTTCCCAAATGGACTGAAATCAGCTTTTGATTACCAGATGGTAATATATTTCCTCTCTTATTCTCTAAATATCTATAAAGGCAAAAGTATGAAGCAATAAATAATTGTAAAACCGAATAAGGTGTCCATATTTGTAAATTACAGTATTAAGCAGGGGTCTCCCCTATGGAGTGTTACTTTGCAAACATGGGGTTGCCAGAGTCAGAATTGACTCCATGGCGATTAACAGCAACAAGGCATGTGCATCATGAATGTCATCATGTCCAAGCTGAAGCACAAAAGTGAGGAAAACTAAGAATGAGTTTCAAAGATTAGTCCAGGACACCAGATTCTTGGCACACATGCCGCCACGCTTTATTTCCGTGTCTTCTGCACATACCAGTAACCCAGCCCTGCATTTGTCCCACCACCCGTCACCTCACATGCTGACTCATAGCTGATCCTCCAGCAGGTTTTTGGAGGCTGTAAATGTTCTGCTCTACCTCATACACAGAATGAAGGATGATATACTGTATTCTCCCTATTATGAATCAATATGGATAGAATCTCTTGCCAATTTTATACCTCCATTTTCAACAAGGTTTACAGTGCTCCAAACACCTACTGCCTATTTATTTGTCATCTCTGATAGAATCCGAGATTTTTCTATAATCTTATTTATCATATGGAAAGATGAGCCCATGCAAATTAGTATTTTATAATACTGTGTTTTTAATGTTTCATTCTAATCAACAGGATCATTCCTTATTTGAAGAAACAAGCCTGAAAGAAACTAACAAGTCTAGGTCTGAACTAAAGGAAATAATGTAGTAATAATTCTGATAAACCAGCTATGAGCAAACTAGGCTACTAAGTGATAAAGGAATTTTTAATCAAGTGTTTACATTTTGCTGGTACTTAAATTGAAGCTCACAGGTTACGTGACCTTCCCAGAACTACATACTTGTTGTAAAGAGAAGCAGAATCCGAGTATCTTAATTTCTGTGTTTATCCTTAGTGGTTCATTCATATGTTTCTTAAAGTTTTACTGGAAATATTCTATGTACCAAGTGCCCTGACTGTCTTCAGGAAGCATACAATCTCACTGCAAAGAAAACCCATAGGTGAAGAAACCCTAATTATGTTCCTAACAGTGAACATTTAGAAAGTACACACAAAATTAGCATGCCTTAGACTCAGGTGTAGTAAAGATCAGAATTAGAATAATTAAAGCATTTTTTACTCATATAGACCTAAATCTTGGACCCTTTTTAAAATAAAGCTTAATTGTTTGAGCCTGATTCAAGAAATCAACTACAATCACTGTATGTGGGACCTACTGCAGCTGAATACATAGGGCCTCATCCATTCAAGGCAGGAAGGGACTTCAGGGGTTACGGGACACTTTTCTATAGGTCACAAGATCCAACCAATTGTAGGTTTTATTTCTTATGTGCATCTTGCTCAGATTTTTCTCAGTATACACAAAATAACTTTTCCTAGCAATAATGGGTAACAAAAAAGCAAAATAGTATATACCTGAAATTATACGGAGGTGGTACTTAGCTTTTTCTTTCTTAGGGATCTCTGGTGGCGTAGTCCACAGGGAGCTGCATTGCCAATCCAAAGGCAATGCTGCTGTGGTGGTTCAAATCCACCAGCAGACCTACACGAGGAAGACAGGCAATCTCCCCCTGTGCCATTCACAGCCTCCAAAAACCTACTGGAGGATCAGCTATGAGTCACTTCTGACATAGAGGCAATGAGTTTGAGTTTTTTTTTTCTTTTTGTCGGCACATAAAGAAATATGTATTTATATCTTTCTTTATCTTCCATTATTTCCTCTCAATCTCTAGGTTGGACAAGATATTTCAAACTCATCAAAACCAAAGAAAGCTCCAGGGATCACAGTCATCCAACAGACTTACTTCTGAAAAGTTCTGCTCTACCTCATACACAGAATGAAGGATGGTATACCATATTCTCCCTATTATGAATCAATATGGATAGAATCTCTTGCCAATTTTATACCTCCGTTTTCAACAAGGTCTCAAAAACCACCTACTCCCATTAAGCTCATTCTGACTCTTAGAAACCCTTTAGGGCAAAGTGTTGTTGTTATGTGCCATCAAGTCAGAACCGACCCATAGCTGACCCTCTAGTGGGTTTTCAGAGGCAGTAAATCGCACGGGAGGAGACTCCCCATCCTCCTACCACAGCACAGCTGAAAGTATTGAACCATGAGCCTTTGGAATTGCAGCACTGTTTCTTATCACTAGGCCACCAGAGCTCCCTATAGCAAAGTTGTTGTTGTTAGGTGCCATTGAATCAAGTATGACTCATAGCAACTCTATGAACAACAGATCTGAACCCTGTCCAATCCCATGCAATCCTCAAAATCTTTGTCACATTCGAGCCCATTGCTGCTGTCACTGTGCCAATCTACCTGGTTTAGGGTCCTCCCCTCCTTCGCTGTCCTTTCAACTTTCCAAGCATGATGTCCCTCTCCAAGGAACAACCTTTCTTAGCAACATGCCCCAAGTATGTGAGATGAAGATTCATCATCTTTGCCTCCAAGGAGACTATAGCTGCACCTTCTCCAAGACATACCTGTTTGTTGTTTCGGTAGTCCATGGGACAGTCAGCACTATTCTCCACCACCACAGTTCAAAGGCTTCAATTATTCTTCTGTCATCCTTAATCACTGTCCAGATCTCAGATGCATAGCAAGTGACTAAAACGCCCATGGCCTGAATCAGGTGCACCTTAGTCCTTAAACTAACCTCATTGTTTCTCAAAAATTTGGAGAAGTCTCTGACTACAGACTTTCCCAATACAATGTATCTCCTTATTTCTGGACTGCTAGTACCAAGGATGTTGACTGTGGATATAAGTAAGATGAGGTCATTGACAGCCTCAATCTTTCCCCTGACTATCATGATGTTGCCTATCGGTTGAGTGGTGAGGAATTTTTGTTTTCTTGACGTTGCAATGCAATCCATATTGAAAGCTGCAGTATTTAGCCTCCTGCAGCAAGTGCTTCAAGTCCTTCTTACATTCTGCATGCAACATTGTGTCTTCCATGTAATGCAGTTTATTGATGTGTCTTCCTCCACTCCTGATGCCACATTCTTCTTTATAGAGTCCAGCTTCTTGTATAATTTGCTCAGCATACAGATTACAGAGGTTCAAGGCTGGAAATATTTATAGAAACAGCCAATCACATCTTTCTCCCATGGAGCTGCTGGTGGTTTTGAATCACCATCTGTTTCATTAATAGTGGAGCACTTTAACAACTACACTTCCAGAACTCTATCAACAAGGACATCACAGTCAAATACTGACACCAAACCAAAGAAAGGAGTAACCTGGGTTTAGCAGCCAGTGATCCCTGTGTGACTGCTAATGAATGGCTTACCCACAAATCTCTGTGAATTCACATTTACATACATAAAATGGGTACCTTTTAAAGCCATTAAATGAAAACAAGTGTCTTTTAAGAACTTTATTCTTTTTAAATGCTATTTAATCTTTTAAAATCTTCAACCTCTTTGTACAGATCATATTGTTCTTTTGGAAAAAAGACTCACCAGCCTCCAAGAAACTAGACAAACCTGTCATTAGTGTTGCAGTTCACCAACTCCTTTGTTATCCTTAGGGCTGAACTCGTGCTCTCTGACTTTCAACTAGCCTAGGGCAGGTTCCCGTGTTCCCACGTTGATGCTCACAGGGTTTTATGACTTTGCCTCTGTTACTAGTGTACTGAGTGTACTAGTGAAGGGAACCTACCTCTGAGTATTCCAAACTCACTCCCAACGGTTACAGGAACAGTATACAAACAGAACCCAGGTGAAGTCAGAAATGCTTAAGTGGGTCTTCAGAGCATGATCTACCAGAATACAGCTTATCCTTCCTTATCAACAGGGTTAAGTTCCAAAAGCCAAGATGTTATCCAACACCTGACATGTGAAAATGTTTAACCACATCAGATTACAAAATACAGGAAGATGATATCATTACATAACTGACAAACTACATCATTATATCACTGTCAAATCCCTGTGAATCAAGATCAACCAAATGGACACATGACAACATCACAGCCTACATGACCCTTGCCTTTCATTATTCCCAGATGTGTATTGTCAATGTGCAAAATAGTGGAAAAATATTTCTTACTCTTGTAAATCTTTAATATCAGGTAACAAGATTGTTGGTAAGTGGGGCATAGGTATATTAATCTATATACATTTTAATCCTTTTAAGATTGAATTGTTTTCTGCTATGCATTTTATTCTCTCAAAACTCGTATTTTTGGATGGAAAATGTTTTTAAATGAAATGTAAAAATTCCAAGGTATTATGGGTTTTGATACAATGAATTAGATACATAGGGAGTTCTAGTAGCCTGGTGAGTAGGAAGTTGTGCTGCCAACCCAAGGACAGGTGGTTCTAATTCCAACTGCTCCATGGGAGAAAAATGGGCAATATTCTCCCGGGTGATTTACAGACTGTAAACCTGCTAGAGGATCAGTTATGAGTTGGTTCTAACATAATGGCAGATAATGACAATAGTTAGATACTTTTACCGCATGGTGTCTCTAGTGCTAGGATAGGAGGGATGAAACAGCATTTAAACAAAAGCAAAAAAGGGGGTGTCAAAGGGAATAATAAGACAGGAGATCTTGCTTCTTTTAATAAGGATATATTTTTTAAAATTTTGGTGAAATGTACCTGTTTCTAAATTCTGGGTTTTCTTAGTTCTCCAGTTAAAATGATACACACTTGTATCTTTTATTCTTTCTTTTACTTTAAGGGCTATCCAGAAAGTGATTCTCAAAATTGTGTCAACATAGGAAATACCATGGCCCAACTCCTGATGCATCATTTCTTCTTTTACTTTAGCTTCTCTTATGTTCAAGATCAAGTTTAGAGTCTCTTCTCACATCTGTTGTGGCCTCTTCTTTCTTTTCTGTTATTTTAATGATCTTTTGTATGATGATGATGTCCTAGATGTCATCTTACAAGTCATCTGGCCTTTTGGTCACACGTGTTCAATGCATCAAATCTGTTCTTCAAATGGCTTCTAAATTGAGGTGGAGTATATGTAAGGTTGTATTTTTTTTGTTCTCATATTCTTTAGTTTCAGTTTGAACTTGCATATGAACAACTGCATTTGTATGTGCATCTGTTGTCATGTGCTGTCAAGTGAGCAACAGCAGCTGCATATGAGCTGCATATGATGTGTGGTCTGTTTCCCAGTAAGCTGGTGGCATTGCTCTCACTGATGCTACTGAGTTTTCTCACTCCCCCCACCCCACACACACAGGTATTGTGAATTTGATTTCCAATACCTCCCTCATGCAAGGTCCTTATGTATGGTCATCATTTGTGGGTTTTTAAAAATGCTTTTACAATGAACAAATTGTACAAAATTTTGTCATGCAATCACCTGCCTCATTTCTATCAGCAGGATCAAATTTTCCAAATATCAACCCTCTTTCTTTGTTTTCAACTTTAGCATTTCAATCACCAATTGTTATTAATGCATCTTAACTACACATTCCCTTAATTTCAGACTGCAGAAGTTGGTAGTAATCCTCAATTTTTCATCTTTGACTATAGTGGCTGCTGTGTAATAGCTGTATTAACAGTTCTTCCTTGTTTGTATACAGATATTATCATTGACAGCATTCAGTACTTCAAAACAGATTTTGAAATGTTCTTTTTGCTGATGAATTTTACACCATTCCTCTTCAATTTTTCATTCCTAGAATAATGGAAGAAATTATGAAGGAAGAAAATGTCAAAGGCTAGTTCAAGGAGATAAACACAGTTATTATAATGAAATGTGGAAAGACCTGGATTGAGAAAACCAAAAGGGAAGAACTACACATTTCTCAAGCTAAGAATACTAAAGAAGAAATTCAAGCCTCAAGTCTGAATACTGAAGGAGTCTATGGGCACAATATTGAATGATGTAGGAAGCATCGAGAAGGCAAAAAGGATACACAGAATTTCTGTACCAAAAAGAATTGGGTGGCATATTTCAAGAAGTAACATATGATCAAGAATCAATAGCACTAAAGTCATCATCTAAGCTTCACTGAGGGCACTGGTGAAAAAAATAAAGCTCTATTTTTTCTGGCTTTTGAAATTAGCAAATAGTAACAAGATATGTATTAACTATTCAGAGAGAAAAAAGGGGAAAGGAGAAGGGATGCAGAAGAAGGGAAATGAAATCACTGGGAGAGTAGAAATCAGTGGGTGGGTGGTGTGAAGGAATAGGCAAGGTACAAGGGGGACTTGAGACAGGGTGGTATATGTAGAGATCAGTAGTAATCACATAAACACAATGTATAAAAATTACTGCATGAAACAAAATATATGTTAATGACACAATGTACATGAATGTTTGTATAAATGTGAATTCTTGTAATTCTTGTAACACAATGTAAATGAAAGAAACATACATTGTTCTTTTGGTAATCCAAGGGATATTCAGAACTCTTCTTCAACTCTACAGTTCAAAATTCTAAACTCCTAATGAGCATGTCTTGAAAGCACATTAAAAAAAAAAAAAAAAAAAAAAAAAAAAAGAAAGCACATTAGATACAATGGATCATTAGGACTGACATTGCTTTTGAGTGGTGGTGGTTGTTATTATTACTAGGTATCGTCAAGTCAAGTTGTGGTGTGAACAAACACATATGTCTTGGAAAAAGTGCAGCCAGAATGCTCCCTGGAGGCAAGGATGGAGAAACTTCACCTCACATACTTGGGACATGCTGCTGTGAGAGGAATTTGGGTAGATAAGCATATTGTTTACATCCTGCCATTCAATGATAACATCACCTCAAGCATATTACTGGCTCAGTTTGATCATCTATTAAATGAAAGAAAGTATTCTGATCCTTTCCAATACCACTAAGGAG